AACTTAAGAGGGAAGCTGATTGGTTACTATGGGCAGATTTTATCTGCACCAGTTTTGATAAATTACCCAAATAACTTATTTGTAGTAGTAAACCAGCAAGGGGGGGGAGGAGGTGTCACAGTTTGACATCTTTGCCCTGGGCACCAGATGACCTTGGCGGCACTGACTTCAATACATATTACATTCTGATTTGGGGTGTAACCAGAATATTTTGTACTTTTTTTTAGCATATGCATTCATAGCTAAGCACACCCTTTAATCCAGGGGTGGGAAACTCCGACCCTCCAGCTGTTGTAGAACTACAAGTCCCATGAGGCATTGCAAGACTCACAATTACAGTCATGACTCCCAGAGGCAGAAGCATGTTGGGATTTGTAGTTAAAGCACAGCTGGAGGGCCAGAGTTGCCCACCCCTGGCTTAATCAAATTAGCCACATCCACATGTTTGTGCTACTGTATCACTCTGCTAAACTTCTGCCTGGGTTGCCGTTTGTGGCGTCACAAGTGATCATCAGACTGGGCTAACATCAACCCGTATATGTCATACGTCTCTATTTATAGAACATTATCTTGATGTGAGTGAGATCTCATTGGCAAAAAGATGACCTAGGCTTCTCCATCCCAATAATGAGGCAGCTCGAGGCAGTTGCCTCAGGCGGCATCTCATTGGGGGGCGGTCACAGCATCCCAGGTTACTAAGAGCTCCTCTGCTTGGCGTTTTGCCCAGCATCCTGCCCAGCTCACTGACATCACTGGTTGCCTAGAGCTGAGCGGGACGCTCTGGCTTTGTGTCCCATGGAGCTCCTGGCAGCCAGTGACATTAGTGAGTGGGTGGGATGCCAGACAGAGCCACTGACAGTGCAGTCCGGCGTCTGTCCCCGCCCCGTCAGCACCCATGGCAGGTGCACCAGAGACCATTGCCTTTTAGCATGGAATGAAATCAACTCAGATGGCAAATAACAAAAGGAAGGCTCTGTACCTAGGCATATAAAAACTGAGGTGGAGATGAGAAGAAGACTGAAATAACAGAGAACAGATCCCCATACTGATATCCATAAAGACATTGAGGGCCATTGATCAAAACTGGAGCAGACAGAATCTGGAGCAGTTGCCCAATCAGCTCCTATCTTCAGTTTGTTCAGTTGAGATTTAAAAATGAAAGCTAGAAGCTGATTGGTTACTATGCACAGCTGCTCCAGATTGTGTCTGCTCCAGTATTAGTAAATTCCGGGAGCCTCCCGCTATTAGATAGTGGCTCCCAGATGCTCGCAAGAGAGACATTTTATCCCGGAAAGGTTTGAAACCTTTCCGGGTCTGCTGCGCTCACTAGTTTTGCTGAGTATGAATAAAGTTTTTAGTTGTAAGGGAAAAAAAAGTTTGTGCCTGCACATCCTGTAACGGTGGCTGGTCAGTGGGAGGGGTTTAGGCAGGGCAGGGGCGGCCTGTGATTGGCTGGAGGTAGAGGTCCCTGAGCTAGCTCTGCAGCCACCTTGTGATGTGAATGACAGTGCCAGGGGGCAGCTGATAGAAGATGCCTGGGAAGGGGGCAGGGAGGGTGAGTGGCACACTTCCTAATGTTGGCCGTTGGCTGAGCTATGGAGCGAAGCTCCCTGCGCTGCAATTCATCTCACACAAAGAGCACAGCCACCTTTACACAATGCACGGGCAAGGTGCCTGTAACCGTATGTCTTGTCATATAGTGAGCAGTGGGTGGGTACAAGAGCGAGCCTGCTATTGGCTATTGCAATTTGAAATGACCAATCGCATTCTAGCTATTCATTCCCCTGCTATCTAATTTTATTTTTTTATTAAAATAAAAAAAACAGAGAAGGTACCTCCATGAAATGAGAAGGGCACCTCCCTGAAATAAGGTTTTGCAGGTTGGTGATTTCTGTGCTATCCCAGGAGACCAGATCCATTCTTCTGATTCACTGATTAATTTTTCTGTTAGGGCCGATTCACACCATATGCGTTGAGGCTGTACTGGCTGTTGTTTCCAGCGCAGCCCCAAGAGGCAATTTGCCTTGTCATGGACGGGTTCGGTTCATGCCACTTGGAGCGCAGTGGTGTGCACTGAAGAAAGTGTACTTTGTTTCGCCTCTTCAGCACAGCAGGATGTGACAACCACCTCACACTCCGTTGTGCCCATACAACTAAATGAAATGTAATTAAAGGAGAACTATGGGGTCAGTGTTTTTCCCCATAGTTCTCCGTAGGGTAACGGGAGGACACAAACTAGCGTCCTCCCCTCACCCTAGGCTCAGTATACCGCGAGCTACAGCTCACGTTATACTGAGATGCCGCAGCCGGAGCGGATCCCGACGTAGATGACGGGATCCGCCCAGCTGCGTGAGTGACAGCTGGCTCTGCCTATCTAGAGGCAGAGCCAGCTGTACCCGCCCCCTCCCCTGTCCGTTCCGCCAGACAGCGCTGGCAGATCAGAGCGGGGAGGGGGGAATCCAGCCCCACCCCTGTCACGGCAGAGAGCCGTGACAGGATCGAGAGGTGAGGGAACCCAGTATGTGTTCCCTCACCTCCCGATCTACTGAGCCGACCTGTGACAGTCTCATTGTCACAGGTCGGCTAGAACTATGAGGTGAGTGGAAATCACTCATCTCATAGTTCTCCTTTACAGGGCAGCCATCAGAAATTTTGGGGCCCCTTACACGGCTTTAGGCCGGGCCCCACCCCCGCGCCGCAGGACGCAGGGCTTAGCGACGCGCTGGACGCAGGGCTTAGTGACGCGCTGGACGCAGGGCTTAGTGACGCAAAACGGCCGGACAGCGGCTTCTTGAGGGCAGGTGGGCGTCTTTAGACGTCCTATCCCGTTCCGCTCGTGCCCGCCACTAGCCGGCAGGCACGAGCGGGAAACCGGCTTTGAATGTAAACAGCCAGCGATGGCCGTTTAAATACAAGCGTTCGGGCGTCTGTAGAGACGCCCGATCGCTTATCATATCCGGTCGGGTGTGCGCCCCCCCCCGGTGTGAGCCCGGGACCAGCACAGCAGCTCTGCGGCCGGAGATCAAACGGAGCTCAGTACACGAGCTCCGTTTGATCTCCTCTCCTCTTCTGAATGCAGGCAGTGATGTGTATTACATCACTGCATGCATTCAGTGTCTCTCCGGTACAGAAACCGGAGAGAAGCTGGTGAAGCAGGTCTCTGCTTCATCAGCTTCTCTGGGGTTCCCTAGGTGACATTAGGGGGTCTTAAGACCCCTGATGTCTCCATAAAGAGGACATGCCACTGCAAATTGCTTGCTTGCTCCCTATGTGATAGCAATAAAGTTCAGTGGAAAAAAAAAAGGTTTAAAAAAATTTGTTACAAAAAATATAAAAAATCACATATCAAAGCAATAAAAAAAAAAATAAAGTCCCCCGCCCCCACATGCACACGCAAACATGCGTCAAGCCCGCCTACGTGCGAAAACGCCGGTTACATCCATTGCGCCGCACATGTTACATATCGCCGCAAACGTCGGAATAAGAGCAATAGTTCTAGGGTCATCAATCACTGATAACACTAAACTGATGAGCGGTAAAAGCTTTTAAAGCGTCGGCTATGGTCAATTTTGAGTATGGTTGTTTTTTGCAATTTAACGGGTGCGCGCAATTTTAAAGCTTGACATGTTTGGTGTCTATTTACCTGACGTGACCCCGTCTTTTATATTTTACCCAAAAATTGGGTAATAATAAATGTTTTATAACATAACGTAGGGAGAACAGGTTTTTTTTTCAAAATTATCAGTACATTTCTTATTATACAGTAAAAAAAAAACCCCAGTGGTGATTAAATACCACCAAAAGAAAGCTCTATCTGTCCCCAAAAAAGGGTATAAAATTCATTTCAGTACAGCGTTGCATGTAAATGTCAGTCAAAGTACCGCAGCCAGTGGTGTATTTAGGTTTGGGGCTGCCCTAGGCAAGACAAAACTCGGGCGATCGCGGGCCGCGGGCTGGTACATTCGCCGCTTGGCCGGAATCTGCCGCCCGAGGCAAACGCCTTGTTTGCCTCGCGGCAGATACGCCCCTGACCGCAGCGCTGAATACTGAAAAATGGCCTGGTCAGGAATGGGGTATAAACACCCCGGTCAGCAAGTGGTAATGGAACTTTAATCTGTTTGCTTTTAGGTCGCTCTGCAGGGTTCTGCATGATGTGTGCCATGGAGTCTCACATGAACAAGGCTTTCAAACAGTCAGGTCGTGTGATGACTCCCCATGCAGTCATTGATCATCTGAATGGTAAGTGCTCTGTCATTAATATTGTACACTGCCGCTGTGAATGCATTAAGCTGGCCATACACGAGTACGGTAAATTCCCTGTTATCTGGCCCCCATTGGAATCGGCTGGTGCTGGATAACTGTAGTTTCTGGTGAATTGTCAACTCTTCTCTTTGCATGTGCTTAGTCATATATTATTATGTTATAATGACATCTTAGTATATATAATGTATCTTCCCATTCTTTTCTTTTTAGACATCGCAGGGCACTTTGTACTGGGGGAACAAAAAGATGCTCATGAATTTCTTCATTATGCCATCAATAAAATGCAGAGTTCATGCATCTATGATGATGCGTCCACTTTAAGGTAAGAATCCTTTACACTATACAGCACTGGGGATCGGTTCTAATGCTGCCTAGAGGGGGTTTGGATATAACCAGACCACATAATGGACCTTCTTCCCCGACCATACATGTATACTGATAATACAAGCATTCAGCCTTATGACAACTGCAGACTCCACAACACCTACCTGATCTCAGTTACACAACAGAGTATCAACCAAAAATTTCCAACCTAGCATCTAGACCAGGGCTAGGCAACCTTAGCAGTCCAAATCCCATCATGGCTCTGCTTCTGTGAGTCAGGCAAGATCTCACTCACACTTCAAAATAATAACAGAAAAATAAAATTTTGTGTAATTTTAGGATGGCCGGGTTTTAAGGCTGGATATAAAAAGAGTTACACATTGTAATACATTGTTATTTTGTCTTTTAGCTCCGTCCAGACTGACAACGTCACAACCAACTTGGTGGACCGCATATTCAAAGGCTCTCTGAAATCTCAAGGTAAGTTGGCACATTACCACATCTCATTGGATTGCTTGACTTATATAATCCTTTGTGTATGAAGAGTTTCAGATTGATTTTGTCCAGATATATGAATGGTGCTGACTAAACATTTCTTTTTGTTTGTGTTGCAGTGGTTTGTCAGAACTGTCATTATACTTCTGACAGATATGAGGAATTCATCGACATCCCTCTGGAGATCAATGTAAATATTACACCTACTATATATTATTTTATATTATATTGAATTATATTTTATTAGGGTAGACCAGAGCTCTGTCAGATCTGTATTCATGAATCTATTACAATTATTATTATGATAAAAATGAATAACATTATCTTTGTGTTTTGTTTTTTTCCAGTCCTCAGATAACATCACAAAATCATTGAAAGATTTAGTGAGAGCGGAAACACTGGAAGGAGATAATGCATACAGATGCAGCCAGTAAGACTTTGTTTTATGGATATTCAGCACAGCCCAGCGTGGGTGGGGTGAACGGGCCCTAGGTGTTTGAATGTCTTTACTTTCATGTTCTAATGTATTTAGCTTTGTAGTAACACTGACATTTCCATTTCTTGCTTTCTTAGGTGTAACCAGTTGGTTAGAGCCGAAAAGGAGTGTACCATCGACAAAGCTCCTAACATATTGACTCGAGGGTCTGAAGAGATTTGATATATTCACAGGATAAAAACTGACCAAGGTAAGCCTCTAATCAGAGGCATTCCGAGGCCGAGTGACACCCAGTGCGGGTATCGGGTGACACCCCGCAGTGACGTTCACCTGGCGGGATAAGATATGCCGCCATGTCCCCTTCTCTCTCGAGCAACTGCCAGACTTTTCAGAGGGGGTGACACCAAAATTACTGTCAGTCATTTTGGTGTCACCCCTCCAATGGTGTCATCCGGGTGTGGGCCGCACACCCCTTGTGACGCCACTGCCTCCAGTGAGTTCAGGGTGTGGGGTCTCCTGTACTATCACGTTGGGAGGATGTCACAAGTTAGATTTTTTGTTACATTGCCTAAGACATTGTTCTTTTTTCCAGAGGGTAACATACCCAAAGAAGATCGACATCAGTCCGTACACCTCGAGTGGCAGTGAAGCCATCAAATACCAGTTATATGGTGTGCTCGTGCACAGTGGCTCATCTTGCCAAAGTGGACACTACTATGCCTATGTACAGGTAAGGGATACATACAATATGGAAGAATTTGTAGGCTGAATATATACGGTTGTTGTCTTTTTCCTTTATCTGTTTGTTAATCTAGTTTATTATCTATTTTTCAGGCTAGTCACGGTTGGTACCTGATGAATGATTCACAGGTAACCCCATGTGACATTAAGACGGTCCTTAACCAGGGGGCTTATGTACTCTTCTACAAGAGGTATGCACTTTCACAACATGATTTGTCATGCAACTAACTGTGACTTTTCTTGTCATGTTTTGTGTCATTTCATATTACCATAACAATTTCTAATTTATCTATTACAGAGTACCATCTGAGCCCTGCAGACCACAACCAAACCTTGTGACAGCATGCTGTAAGGTAAGAAATTGTCATTTCATTATTGTGCAAACCTTCTCATACCTGCCTACAATCTATGGGAATGATAACTGCTTCCTATAAGCAGTTTCTAGCTGATACTGTAATCACTTACATAGATCACTTTGTACTACCAATATGCACCATACATACTTCATCTTGCAGGGGTGACACCAGCAGGACTGACAGTCATGTTGGTGTCACCCCTGGTTGTTATATACAGGGGTGCTGGAAACGGGGTAATTTTCATTGAACAATTTTTCTGGAATTTTTCTCTGGGGACTATGTTTAATGTTTAAGTAGATGTTGGGCTATTTGGTCGGGGATGGAGCTACTCTTTCCGGACTCTTAAGCTATTCTGCGTCCTTTAGCATCTATTTCCTTTTCCTTTTATTGTCTGTCTTTTTTTTTTCATTATGCTCGCACACGTGAGCTGTTTAGTGCATTGATGTTGGATAGAAAGTCTTCTATTTATATAGATATGGAGGAGATATTCCTCTCAGACTGTTTTGAGTTTTGTTTTTGCTGATGGGGGAGAAATTGGCAAGAATAGGGTAATAGATATGATCTGTTTTACAGAGCTATTATATATTGTGTGTATGGCATCTAGTGATCCCCCCCCCCTACTACTTGACTATGCTAATGTGGAAGAATCTGAAATGCAATTGTATGCTATACTGATTGTGCATCATGTGCTATTTTATTGTTTTATTCTATTTTGGAAAATTAATAAAATACTTTGAAAGATAAAAAGTCAGGCACTCGGTCATGGACCGAGAGCCCGACAGTTTCAGAAGAGAGGAGGGGACCTGGCGGCATACCTCATCCACTTCTCTCTCTGCCGGCGTCCATCACCAAGAAGGCCGCCGTCAGGCGTCAATCAGATGGCCGTGCATGCACAATGACGTCACCGGGCACGTGCAAGGTGACGCAACGCGCACGTGCGATGACGACACGGCGGGGTATCACCCAGTCTAGAGACCAGGTGACACCCAGCCTCGGGATGCCCCTGGGTATAGGGATCCTAGACATCCAGGGTGTAACAGACATAGACTCCAGACTCACCAGACCTGGTTGGCATCTCAGTGTAGATCCACTTGGGAGACAGTGGATAGCAACTGAAGTAGCAGATGAGCAAGGATGAATAAATATCCTCAACAGGAGAGACACCGGCCATGCTCCTGAAGTCCTCAGGTCCCAAGAAACTTCAAGAGCCATCATTGGTCCTGGGTCTCTTCCTCTGACCGCAACACAGGCCTCCTCCATGTTAGAGGCCTCAGGGAAGCATTTCCCTCACACCAGCCTATGCACACCCCCAGGCCTCAGGCCTGGCCTGGGGGGCTGACTGAACAGCACCCAGCCTCAATCCATGGCTTTTCCCGGCTAGTCTGAGCACATGGCAAATCCCTCCAGTATATGTACCCTATCCCAGCATGCACCACTGTTTGAGAGAAGCCCAGTGATTGGCTGCTGTACTGTACATACACTACAGTGCCTCTCATAGGCTGTCCCACAATATGACAATATGGAGTCACACTCCACCCAGGGGGGGTACAGGCAATGCCAGACACCTGGAATTAACCAGATAACTGCCACTATAATCCAGCCAGGCTGACTGCGGCCCTGGCCATCACTAAACGTCTAGTAGCCACATCACAGAAAGTGATGGCGGCTACCCAACTATTTCTAGCAGATTGTTTTTCTGCAAAGTGTAAGACCCTGAATATTGATTTTTCTCTTCATTAATTTGTACATTGTGATAGAACAAGGCATATGACATTAGTTTATTCTAGATTGTCATTTCATTACTGGTTTTCTTGTTAATGGAATATATGCATCCTTTGTGTAAACGGAAATCTTTTAGAAAACATTCATGATTCATTGGAGAGGAATCTGACATACTGCGCTAACTGCAAACTACAACTCCAAACGAACCCATTAGCATTCATGAACATGCGGCACGGCAAGATGTTGTCAACGCAATAGTCCGCATTATCCATAAAAACTGTGTGACCTGTATAACAACCAATGACTGTATGGAAATTACAGGTGGGCATATGCTGTGATAAAAATATAATGTCCCCCTGCCAGGAACAAGCAATACAATGATGACTACTCTATTGTTTTTTTAAATCCCCATCTCCATCGCCCAAACCCACAGATACACACTTACATATCTATATAATTTTTTCAGCATCTGGCTGTTATTCTTCCTCTTCTCTCACTGTGGCACGGATGGGTGGTCTTGGGCGTTAGCGCTATGATTATGAACAGGCTGCTATTGAACCTAGAAATGGAGCATTGGCAAGGGTGGGAGACAAGAATCACAGAAGAGTGATGGGAGAATAAGACCTAGTGGTACATGGAGTCATGCAGTCTGCTCTTATTTTTCTTGGGGGGGGTTGTGTATTTTCTTAAACTTTAAGTCTGGGTATAGACCTGTGTTTTTCACAAACGTGTTTTTGCACTCACTTACCGTTGACTGACTTAGTACCTTTGCTGGAATCTGTTTCACACATGAGCTGACTTTTTCAGAAATAAAATACTTTGTACCGTTACTCTTGAATTTTACTCCTCTCCATTCAATTAACCTGAAAGCAACAAGGATTTTGTCACTTCCAGGTTCAGTGCTGTAATTTCCTGGCCAGGAGGGGAGTTAATAAAGCATGATCTGTGCTCGATCAGCTTCATTGAGCTGCAAAGGTGACATTAGGGGTTTAACAGACCCTTAATGTCAATTTAAAGAGAAGTTGTCACCTCCAATGTGCTATCGCATAGAGGCCTTGTTAATCCCCTATGTAATAAGAAAAAAATTCACTGAGGAAAAAGAAAAAAGTTAAAATTAAATAATAGCAATTAACAAACACCCCAAAATATATTTTATAAAGCCTCATGTACACACTAATGTAAATACATGTGACGGGTGCACCTACATATGAAAATTAGAGTTGTACCACACGTGTTATGTTTTTCCACATGCCGGACTGAGATCAATAATTCTACGGCCATTATTCTTGGTAAATTCTAAATTGGTGAACTGTTGAGGCTTTTACCCACCTTACAGGAGTGGGAGGGCGTCTTAAGACGTCCTGCCCCTCCCCCCTCTCATGTGCGGTGCCCAGGGCGCACACGAGTGGGTGAACTGTCAGCCATGTACACAGCCAGCAATGGCTGTTTACATTCAAGCGATCGGGTGTCTCAGGTGTGCACCCCCGCGAGTACCTCCAATGCCGCCGCTGCCGGTCCTGCGATCAGCTGTGGTTGGTGCATCTGGGACCATAAGCTCTATCTGTCCCCAAAAAATGGTATAAAATGAATTTCAGTACAGCGTTGCATGACGGAATAAATGTCAGTCAAAGTACCGAAGCGCTGAAAACTGAAAAATGGCCTGGCCAGGAAGGGGGTTTAACACCCCGGTCATCAAGTGGTTAACAATGCATACATGGGGGCAGGAATATTTTTTTTTTTAAATTGTATCTTACTAAACATTAGTTTTTTGTAAACTTTTTTCTTATTTTTATTGAACTATAGTTTTATCACAAGGGGGCTGACATGTGAAAGGGACAGGTTCTCTTTACAAACAGAAACAGGAACCATACCGCACTCCTTACCGGGATTCCCACTTGATGAGGATGGGTGCTCGAAATGACTGCGGATGGCCCCGCCACACATGAACTATAGAAGAAATTTCACCAGCACACCATGAGTTGAAAAAGCAAAATATTTTATTGCCAATAGCTGTATCTCATTGGCAAGCGCTTTCGGGGCCCCGCAGGGTCCCCTTCATCAGGTTAAAGGTGCCCATACACTGTGCGATTATCGCACGATAATCGCGGGAAATCCCGCGATCGCACGATAATCGTAAAGTGTATGGAAGGCGTGCGACCGCTTTTACTGTAAGGTCGCACGTCTTTTGTCTTAGGAGCATGCTAGAAAACCAGCCGAGAATCGTACAATTTTCGGCTGGTTTTTAACATGATCGTAAGATCAAAGCCGCACGGGCCGGTGTGCGCACGCGCACACTGCCCGTTTAGCATTGCGGTCATCGGAAGCCTGCCACTCCACGGGGCGGGCTTGCGATGATCGCAAGTACGATCTGCCTGTCCAAGATGGGCAGATCGTACGTTTTTTAAATTACTTTACAACCATCGCAAGACTAAGGTCTTGCGATGGTTATAAAGTGTATGGCCACACTTAGAGATAACAGTGAAGTGAAAGACATGCAACAATATATACTTAGACATACCAATCAACTGAGTGCTGAAAAACAACTCCCATCCACCTGGGGCGTCAGTATGACGTCAGACCTGCCGTTAGGTATTTGAAAAGGACGTGTGCAGAATGATGTAAATACCAGACATATCTATTAAACCATCAGTGACTCCCAACAGTACATATATACTGTAAGTGTGACTCACCCTGTAGCAAAATACATTGTTGGGGTTAGAGATCGTATGACCGAGTGCAGAGCGGTATCAAGTGTCAGGGCCATGAGTGCACCGGGAACGGAGCTGCTCTGGTTGCCTCGGCAACATGACGCTATACAGCGGCTCTTAACATCCAGAGCCGTGGCCGCTTGTCCCGCCCACTGGCGCATGCGCTGTGTGGGTACAGGGACGTCTCGTCCGCTCACTGATCTGACAGCTGCCCCACTGCACAGTATGGGTCAGTAGCCCAAGGGCTCACAATGCGAGATATACCTTGAGCGTTGGGATGATAGTAAGCCACTCATACAGTCAGTTTGATCATAAAAATTAGATCAGACACTAGCTGTTAAGTGTGTAATTGCTG